TTACATTTGAATCCACTGTCGAAAGCAATCTACCAAATCCGGTCGTCTTTCTTCATCCTCCCTTTAGAGTCAATGTAATTGAGTTCGTACCAGAGTGAAGAAGACGACGTGTTTCCGAACCAGTGCAACATCATCCTGGAGGCCTCCACGTGCTCCGACGAGAGCTGAAGGTTCTTCTGGAGATCGTCGATCACGGTCAACAAACGGTCAAATAGATGGAGGACCAAATCATGTCAAAATTACAAAGTTAAGGACTTAATTGGTTGAAATTGAAAGTCGATGACCATTTTGTGAATTTAAGTATAGTCGATGGACCATTTTGGGTATTTACTCAAATTTAAAGGCATAATTAACTCCATGGCACATGTCACATATCACATGATCCAAATTGATGATGATTTATATGGTTAAAAAAAGCATTACATATAGATTAGTCGATTTTGTATATTATAAATTAATAAAAAAATATTATTAGTGAAATATGAATAATAATTCAATATAACAGATCGACTTTTTCCAACAGCATCATGTATAAAAATTGACTTTGCATTAAAAAAAAAAAAAAAAAAAAAGAAACTTGTTATGACATTTTAAAACTTCATTACATACTATACGGAGTATTGTCTTGGTGTTCTTATGACAGCCTATACAGGTATGCCAGCTGGCACAGCTTTATCTTTATATAAAACACACAAATATTACTCCATCCGTTCCAAATTGGTTGTCTCATTTGTTTTTTGCACGCTTTTTAAGGAATTAAAATAAATGCTATATATTTTCTAATATAGCGACGATAAATTTTTTTGTAAATTAAAATATACTTTAAAATGATAAAATCATACCCTTTATACTAACAAAATAAGTAATTTAATATAATGCCTGCATGCTTAGGTTATTAGTAAATAATATTTGGAATAAGAAATCAATGTTTGAACATCGACAACATCGATGTGAAAATTATGTCCAAAGTGGACCGACTCTAATAATGGTAAAAAGTAATCTATTGATATTTTTAATTTGAGCCGATCAACTATGGTGACCGTTTTCTCGGTCAACCAAAAAGAAAAAATAAATAAATTTACCATCATATCATATCATGCATGCATGGATCCTTGTCTTCCTTATAGTTCCTTAGAAGTCAGCGGCTTATTCTTGGTGTGTGAAGCCATGGATTCTCGTTCATCTTCTTCCCGAGCTGCCATGGAAGCCATAGCCGCCTTTCTTCTGATCATACGAGCTTTAACGTAAGATCTCAAGAACAGTATAAGTGCAAAGGAGTTAAGCGCGGAGTTGAAGACCCAAGCTCCCATTCCGTTGCACCCACCTTTCCGGAAATGCAGAAGCAGAACGCCGACGTGGCAGGCGGAGTTGCAGAGCAAGAAGACGAGGTGGCAGTTCATCACGAACGGAAAACGCGCCGGCCGGAGCCCCACGTCGTCGGTGCAGAACCGGTAGGCGTTGACGACGGCGAACCCGAGCGTGGTGAGCAGAATCGCGACGACCTGGAAAGACTGGGAGAATTCGAGCCAGAGGAACGACATGCAGATGAGGATGGAGTGGTTGAAGAGGTGGAAGAAGGAGAGGCGGCGGCGCCGCAGCACGGTGAGGTAGGTGCGGAGGACGTGGAGGAAGCGGGAGAGGTAGAACGCGTAGGACCAGAAGAACACGCGCCCCGACGGGCGCGTCCCGATCGGGAAACACAGCAGCCACTGGAAAGGCGTCTTGGTCCGCCGCCATATCCACCGGGTTTCCCGGATTTCCGCGGCGGCGGACGACAGGATCCCGAGGAAGATCCCAAAAGAAACGAGCGACAACGCTAGGCTATGAAGTGCCGGAAGGCGGCCGATGGGGACCGGGCGGCGGCCGAAGAATAGGAGGAGGAGAAGGTGGAGGGCGACGGCGGTGAGAATATAGAAGGAAATGGAGGTGATAAGAAACGACCACGTCGAACCCCACAGCGCTAAACTCCATTGGAAACCTACGACTGAAGGATGCTCCGACAACCAATAGCTGAGACTCACCATTGTTATTATTATTATTATACCTACGACGACTTTATCAAACTTTGATGTCTTCTGGGTTTTGGTCCATTATAAACAACAGGAAAACTTCAAAGTTCAAATGTTCAAACAATCAGAATGGACGGTGCAGTGATTATACACAAAATAATATATATATTTTTAATGATGAATCATCAATTTATATTGGATAAATTTAATAACTTTTGGGTGCAACCCATTGAAGTTGGTAATAACGTGTGGACCTGGTAACCGCTGCACAACTTCAAAATGTTATAAGTTTGATTTTCATATTGAGTGATATATTGTATTTTTTTGAGTTAATTCTATTTTTTGTCATAAATTTATAGGTGATAATTAACTTTTAAGTCTTTTTTCTTTAATTAAAACATCCATTTTTGATCATAATATTATTGTGGCATGATCATTTTTTGTCATTTATTAACAAAATAGTTTAAATACGTTAAATACAATGCCATTTCGGTCTTCAATCATGAGTTTTTTTTTTTTTTCAAAAAAACATTAAAAAATATAGCGGTTCAACCTACTTTGTAAAAAAAAATGAAATGTCTTTGTATTTAACGACATTTCAACGATTTTGTTGAAGGGGGCTAAAAATGATCATGCCACAATAATATATACTATGACTAAATGAGGATCTTCTAATAAAAAATGACTTAAAATAGACTGTCACCTATAAATCTAGGACCAAAAATGAAATCAACTTTTTTTTTTTTGAGTTGATCATCTATAGTTAATCTAAATTGGAAATGGCAGGCCAACACTATCGAAAAATTACTTTTTGTGCCTGAGGGAAGCTTCACCCTTTTTTCAATGTGTTTTTTTCTTATTTATACAAGAGACAAGGAGCTTAATTTAGGTAAATCTAATCAGAGCCGTAAACACAGTTATTTCTTCATTATTGCCCCCGATCTTTTCCTCCACCTTCACGAGATCCGCCCCAATTCTAAGAGTGACCGCGGTTCCGGTTCCGCAAATAGACAAATCGGAGAGTAAGGTTCCGGTTCCGGTTGGAACCGCCGATTCTAACCGGATTTATTTAAAATCAAAAATAAAAAACCTATAATTTTTAATTTTTTCCGGTCGGTTCCGGTTCATTTTCTTCTCGAACCTTAACCAGAAACCATATTGGTTCCGGTTCCGGTTCAACAGTGCACAGTTCGAAACCGTGGTAATGCCTACCCAATCCCTTTTGGATATGACTAGTAGCTCAACATTTGTAGACTTCGCCCCGGAGTCGCTCAATCCCCTTTCTTTGGCAGGCCAGTCTATTTAGTCGTCTGCACGCATGACTATTCCGCTTGGGTGCGACTCCTTTATACTCTCGGTTTCTTGGCCTACCCGCTCTACCCCAAGCGACCTTTCACCTACTCAGGTTTTTTCGCCTGAGCCCGCACAGACTTGGTTCACTGACTCAATAGGCATTATATAGGAGAAGATACCAAGGTTCAAACCTCGTTCGCGACAATATGGGGATTATGCCCAAAGTGGACAAATTCCTTGTGTGCACCTGCATTTGGACTGACCTGTCTACTAAGCCATCGAATGACTATGATTTACATCATCTCAAAATGCTTTGTCGGGGCGGGTGTGGGGGCCCTTAGGGTTAGGGATTAAACATTTTGGGAGAAGAAGCTTTCTTCGTTCGAGTATCTATATATCCGTGTGGCTCCCCTCATCGATCGTCTTAGTGATTGCCTAAAGACACTGTTCAATAGTCCGATCGACTTCCTTAAACATCCGCCATCCTGCTTGTCTTCATCAAGCATTCTCCCCTCTGATTGACTGGCTTTGCCTGTCTATTTGCCTGACTGCCTACACACCTGTCTATATCCGCTTGTCCGACTAAACGGTGCCCACTTGATTGGTGCATCGCCCCTTGCACTCGGTCTACCCTCCGACCCCGCCTATCCTCCCCTATCAGGTTTGACTAGTTGCATGACAATACCCATCAGTGATTATTTGTCAACTAGAATTACAAGATTATATTTAATTTGTGCACGTCATTATACAGTGATATTTTTTTGAAGAAAAAAAAAATCAAATTTCAATTCAAAGAGTGTTGTATTGGCATATGGTAATAGAAGTTTCTTGTTGACTCGTCTAAACCAAATTAAAGGTAAACAGAAGCAGGCGGCGATGAGATGAAATGAAACGACTTTGATTTATATATAGTTGTAACGGTGAATAGAAATTATAAAATATATTCTTTTAGTGGTACCAATTCAATGACGAAACGACACAATGAATATAGTATTAGCTAGCGGTAACATATGCATAGGTCAGTTCATGAATATAATTATCTCCAAATTTGAGAAAGCTATATGTCGGAAAATATACTATATTATCCTGTAGATTGTTTGTGAAACGTAATCGAGTACGACGTACATTCGAAGAGTGTGCATTTCATTTGTAATTTCTTTTTCTAAGTCGTTGAATGATCGTTTCTTAACGAGATACAACAACCTTTAATCATTTTTAAACTTTACGAATAAATCATAAACATATCTAAACAGGATTCAAAAATTACATTAATTAAGAGCAACTCACTAATAAGTTATAGATAGTTAGGTTAACTCATAAAATATATTATTTTAACACATAAAATATAATATAATATTATAATTCATTAAAATATATTATCTTATTTTAAAAATTTTATTATTTTAATACATAAAGTACATCATTTTAATATATAAAATATATTATTCTAACACATAAAATATTTACATGAAATAAATTTTTTTTTTAATATTAACCTTGACACTGCAGTGTATAAAATTCGGAAATTCCGATGAGCAAAATATTGTCTTTGGAGAAAACAAATGTCCAGAAACTTCTAGATTCAACCTTGGACCTGGCCTGGTAACCAATAGAAATTGAAGTCAACTAAGTATATGTCGTCACTCGTAAGGCGTTCCCAGCACGCAAGAAGAGTGAACACATCCCGACGTCGTTTTAATTGGAGCCAGGTAGGATCCAGCAATACAGATTACCGACGGTTCGGATTTTCTTGTTGGAAAAACATCATCATCACTAATCTCCTCGAACCTTCTTGCCTTTGGTACTAACCATTCTCTCTTCCTCCGATCGCCTCAATCAATCCTTTCGCCTGTTCATCCATTGGGTTTTTCGCTCTTTCGATCAATAAATCTATCGCATCCAACAAGGTAAACTCTTTATCCATTTCCCTCTATATTATTTCCGCTTTCGCCATGTGGATTTGAGCAATTGATTATCAGTTATCGCTAATGCTTTAGGCAGGTTTGTTTGTTTGATAATTATTTGTGGGTTTGATCTATTTGGGGTTTCTGATTGCTGAAAAGAGTTCATTGTTAGGCGGGTGTTGTTTTAGAATGTACTTTAAGGATAAAAATGGAGTCTTTTTATCTTTTATGATTTGTCTTAACTTGAAATCTGTATGATTGTTTATGTGTAGACGCGTTTTCTAGTGTGGTTATGGCTAGTGGGATTGGAGAAGCGACGAGTAGGGGGGTGCCCCAGAGCTCTTCTTCCTCTAATGGAAGTGATACTGGGGATTTTGAGTGCAATATTTGCTTTGACTTAGCACAAGACCCTATTGTTACACTCTGTGGGCACCTATTCTGCTGGCCTTGCCTTTACAGATGGCTTCATATTCACTCACGCTCTAGTGAATGCCCTGTATGCAAGGCTCTTGTTGAGGAGGAGAAGTTGGTTCCTTTGTATGGTCGAGGAAAGGACTCGACAGATCCTAGGTCCAAGTCGATTCCCGGGATGGAAATCCCGCATCGCCCTACGGGGCAGAGGCCCGAAACTGCTCCTCCGCCACAGGCAAATGCGTTTCCACAGCATGATTTTGGATTTGCGAATGGGTTAGGGGGGTTTGCCCCGGCTGGAGTTGCAAGGATGGGGAACTTTGCCCTCTCTGCTGCTTTTGGTGGTCTCATTCCATCGTTGTTCGGGAACTTTGCACTCTCCGCTGCATTTGGGGGTCTAATGCCGTCTTTCAACATTCAAGTGAATGGTTTCCCCGATGCCACCATGTATGGAGCAGCTTCTGGTCATCCATACGGATATCCAAATCCATTTCACGGTGTTCACGCTCATGGTGTCCACTCTCATAGATTCTCTCACCGCTCAATTCAGCAACAGCAGGCTGATACTGCCCTGAAGGTGCTGTGTTTGGTAATCGGTTTCTTTGTGCTCCTTGCTCTAATTTGGAATTAAGGTGAATTTGCCTTTGGAGATTGAATTTCTGACACCCTATTTAGTATTATTACCACATTTATCGTCTGTATATCAGTTAGTCAGTCATTTATGTCTCTCTTGGTTGAAAAAATTGTCCATATATGATACATGGGGTTGGAAGTTTGTAGGCTGCCTTTACCACAACCTTTGTAATTTAAATTATCTCTCGAGCTTCAATTTTATCCTCATCTTGCTCAATTGCCACCTTGCACTCTTTGTATCATCACCATTATTACCCGCAATTTGAAGCTTGTTGATGTGTGCTGTTCTGAGTAATTGCTAACACATGTATTTTATTACTCTAATACAGAGAAGTATTTGCATTATATAATCAAGAAACCAGTAGAGTACAAGTAGCACAACTAAGCACTGAACTAATCACATGGTTGTGTATGATTAGTTACAGCACATTCTGGTTTGCAAATAATTGAAGGCTGTAGTAGCAGCATTATTGTTTGCTTCTCCTAAATTCTCGGCAATTGCTCTCTATATTAGTAGCAAATAATTGAAGGCTGAGACTTGAAGTGATCAAAGATAACACATTTTCTTATTTGAACGAGTACTTCAAGATGGATAAGAACAAGATGGTCCTGAAAAGTGAATTCACTTTGGAGTACAGCTACTCTTATATCATATTCATAGTTGTCCTCGGGAATGTTTCAGTGCAACAAAGATTCAAATCCAAACCCAGATATTTTTTTGAGGATGGGGGAATTTTCTTCATTCTGTTCTTTGTACTTCAATTGCCACTGACATCAAGTGGTCAAGTAATGAGAGTTTTTATGGAGACTAGGACTTAAGGTACAGTTAGACACTTATTCCTGAACCATTCATTTAAAAGCAATCTTTCTTTTAACAGGTTCATCTATTTCATGATATGTGGAGTTTGCCATTGATTGACATCCTCCTGTTATCTATAACGCTTTCACTATTTCCCTCGTGCTCTTTAATCAGTGTTTAGCTTTGTTGGGAAAAAGTTGGTTACTACAGGAAATAAAGCACTATGTGATGAGTTATCCTCCCGTTCAACCGTGACAGATAAACATCATGGTTGGAATAATTGCCCATTTCTCTTCACTGTTCTGAACATTGCTTAACCTGTGGCCCAGAGCTCCAGGTAAGCCAGAATTGGCTTTTGGCATGCAACTACCACTCGGTTTAATCATTTACTTATAACTGCACTGATATCATGTCTCCATTGTTGTTGTTTCAGTTGATCATATCATGACCGTAACACATCTTTGTTGTTTTGTTACAGTTCTGATAGTGTTATTATAAGCTCTTTTAATTTTCTGGAGATTAGGAATTGCAGAAACTAAGAATGTTGTGAATTTAAGAACAGGAAAGCTAGGAAAAGGGACACTGAACAGACAGATTGCCATCCAAATGGGGCAGACTTCTTTTTCAGGCACAGGTGCAGTGTTCTATTCCATCCCAGTGCTGATTGGTTCATTTCCGCGTGAATAATTGCTTTATTTTTGTAGTCTTTTATTCTTTTCAGACAACATTAACTTTGACACCTAACAACCCAGGCTTTCTTAAAGTTTCCAGGTGTGCCAAATCTTTGTTTTTTTTGGGTATACCCAGAATTTCCCTGTCGCACATAGTGACTAATTCTCTCGCTGGATTGTAGGCATTTTTTTTTTATGGAACAGCTGACCTGGAGATTTAAGGTTGCTCCATACGTAAAGCTAATGATCGAACCCTTGACCTTTGGCGTAGGGCCTATAATTGTAACTAGCAAGTTTGCATTGCTCGAAGTCTTGCCTTTTCCGATCTTTCAAAACTTACTAGAAATGACATTTCGGACTACTTCAGGGATAAAAAATATTGTCACTAGTTTTTTTTTTTTTTTTGAATAACGAGGAAAATCTGCAATAACTATCAGACTAAGACGAGATTCTTACTAATATTATCTCATATATTCTTTATGTGTTGTCATGGTGACATTATATTTCGTCATGGTAGATGTTAATAAATATGGGATCTAAAAACCTTGCTTAATAAATGTTTGGTCTAATCTTCATGCCCTCGTACAATGTACTGAAGTAAAAGATAATGTCCCATGTACCTGTGCATGGAAGCCTATTATATACCATACAAGTTTCTAGTTTTCATGATAAGATGGCTTCAGCATGGGAGACTCCATTTTAGATATCCAAACCATGTGCTAGCTAGCTAGGAACAATTATAAAACATCAGACTATCAATGTTTCCCATTCCATATTTAATGTTTTTTTTTTCTTTAATCTTTAGATAGATGTTCTACACCTTTGGTCAGATCAAATATATAGTAGAATTATAGGTCTACACGGGTAGTTCAGGTTATAGATTGTAGGTAAGGATGCAAGATTGAGATCTGACACTCAGGGATCGTTTGATTTGCGGAAAATATTTGAAAGGAAATGGAATTAAAATTCCATGGGAAAGTAGTTACTCGGAATATGGATTCCATTGTTTGGTTGGTGGAAAATGAGTGACTGAGAATATTGATTCCATTGCTTGGTTAGATTTGTGATTTTAAGGAATAATAATGTATATAAAGACCTAAATGTCCCTAGATTTGCTATTTATATGTATATAATTAAGAAAGAAGCATAAGGGTAAAATAGTCCAACCAGCTCAGTCTTTCTTCCCTCCAACCTTGGAAAACAAAATACCAGCCCTATGCTCAGATTATGTTCCTCATATTTGAGGAATTAGTTTTCCATTGGAAAACAATTTCCATGAACCAAACATCAGAAAACTCTAATTTTCCTCAAATTCTAGGAAAACATTTTCCTTGGAAGTTCTTTTTCGCGAACCAAACGAGCCATGCAGTATGTGATTGTTACACTCAATGTAGTGGGTCCCAAGTACTGGTCCCGACCTCCATCTAAAAGATCGTTGAATTATCGTGATTATCCATTCATTATCATGTTGGACTGAAATGTGAAGACCCTTGAGACGAGAAATTACGCCTATCCATAACTACAATTTTCACTCTATTTTCAAGAAGGTTGCAGAAATTGTAGGATTTGTCAAAATGGGTTGTTGCCAAGGTGCAATGTCGTTTTTGGTAACCAGAAAAAACTGTCAATTACATATATCATCAGATTATCCCAATTTGCAATTAACACTGAATCGAATTACATTACTTTGTTTGTACACTTTAGAGATGAAGTAAAAGAACAAAATGGTGTTGTCGCTGAAGCATGGTTTTCACCGTCGGTCCAACGTCAAAGTTTTATTAGGTACGAGAGAGCTCCTTTTTTGACAATTTCCCCATTTACTCTGACCAAACATTCTTCTTTTTCGGCCAAGTCACCGGCATCGTTACACAGGAATAAAAATAAATTTTTACAAAATCAAAGGTTGTCCTAGTATAGTATATAATTTTTTTTGTAATGATTTACGTTAAATTATTCCTCATATAGTCATATAATTAATGTTGAATATTGACATATACGGAAATAAATTAAGTAACGAGTATGGTTCAATTTGATAGAACAAACATAGGATATAATTCATTTTTTATAAATTAGCCTTTAATGGATTTCTATATTTAGCGAGTTGACATATGTGTTTTATCTCAATTAAAAATTTTTTAGTCGATCACATGCAATACGCGGATCATAGTACCCTTCTGCAAAAATCTAGTTTTGACTTTTGATATCAAATTGAACACGTGGACCATTGTCTCGCGTGAACCTTTTGCACGAGTTTAACTGTAATGTTAAATTGAAAAATGTAAAATTAAAAGACACAAAAGAAATGACATTCCCTAAGAGAAAGAAGTTTTTTTTTTTTTTTTTTTTTATTTATTTTTTTTTATCTACACGAACTTAACTTAATGACTCAGTAGGTAGTATTTGAGAGAAGAAATAAGACTCAAACTTAGATGGTGACAATATGAAGAGTTACGCAGATATACATCTTGATTTGGACCTTATGCATAAAATAAGAAACCTTAAGAGAACTTTTTAAATAGTTAGGGTTTGATCGAACCCAAGTTTAAATGAAATTATAAATATATTTAATAAATTAAATGAGAGAAAAGAAAAGATCTTCTTGTGCATTCCAAGTTCAAAATGTTAATTAGGTTCTTTTGGCTGTAATATACAGCTTGGAGAATTGAACTTTAGAAAATAATTTAGAATATAATAGATGCTATCGTATATTGCAATAAAAGTCGACCGAATCCAACAAAACGAATTTTAATCCATACACACTTTGAGTATAATTAGTTTATCAAATTTCTTTATAACATAATCTCTAGCTATTTTCTTCGAAAATTTCTGTAAATGTAATAACCGAAGACAATCACGTGCAGTTGAATTGGTCATATTGTTAAGTTATAAAACCAAAAATAATTATGTACAGTTGAATTGGTCATATTATTAACTTACAAATTTAAATTTTCTGTGAGATATCTATTGCCCTCCTTAATATATAGAGTTCACATTTTGATAGTGGTTGTGAACGTATTCAATTTTACTGATGTTGATAATGTGTTATAATATCATTGTAGTCTATTGATCGACAATAATTTGTTTTGAGTACTATTAACTTTGTTATAATGTAATATATCTATTTATATATATTTTCTCAACTTACTGAAATATAAAGAGTAGTGCCACAACTGTGATTTAAACCTCCTATTTGCTGTCATAGAATCATTTTTCTTTTAATTATTTCATTTAAAAAAAAAATTAATTGCTGCTGATATTCTCAAAACCGTGTCCAATATAATGTTGGAAGAACAAAATAAATTCTACTTCCCTCTATGGTCTCTTCATTTCCAAATCTAAGAAAAAAGAACTTTCGCCGCCGACATGGGGCCTCAACAACTATTCCTCCTCCTCCTCCTTTCTATCACCGTCTTTTCAACCGGAGCCGCCGCCATTCCAATCTCCGAGCAATTCCGTGAAGCGCCGGAGTTTTATAACTCTCCGGAATGTCCGTCCATCATTTCCGCAACAGATGGCTCCGAACGTGACACCGCCGCCGCCTACGTGTGCTCCGATCAGGCCGTCCACGTGGCGATGACCCTCGACGCCGCCTACATCCGCGGCTCAATGGCGGCGGTGCTCTCCATCCTGCAGCACTCGTCGTGCCCGCAGAACACGGTGTTCCACTTCGTCGCGTCCGCCTCCGCCAACGCGTCGCTTCTACGCGCCACCATCGCCGCCTCGTTCCCGTTCCTCAGGTTCCGGGTTTACCGCTTCGACG